ACTCAATTTTACTAGGTAACGACAGTATTTGTGACAAATGTAATGTCAAGGAAGATTGGACCCACGTATTCCAAACTTGTCCCAAATGCAATCCTGAAAAGGATGAACTGTATGCCACATGGGACGCTATCTCCCAGAAATTTAGCCTTAACAAGATTCGTTTCCCTCCTGATATCTCAGAATCCTCTCAACTTAGGATAGAATTTGATGGTCGTTGCTCCCGTAATGACTGGCTTAACTGGTCTAAGCGCAAAAGAATACCTAAGAATGTGGCCCTAGAAGTCTACAAAGCACTAGCTATTTATTTGGAAAATTGCTACAAGAACTCAGTGTGGTACAACCGTCCCAATGCAGGCTTCACTATTAACAGGAAATACCTCTCTGCCTACCACAGGCAGGCTCAGTCTAACCAACCACTTAGCGTCAACCCATAACACTTAAACGCTGAACCGAAACTTACTGGTTGTAGACCTCGTCTCTCAGGTCTTTACGATACAAGAGACGTTAATAAAATCACAATTTACTTTTGCAGGTTCTACCACTTCTTGATTACTAGCAAGCTTCAACTCCATTTCACTTAGTCTTGAAAGAAGTACATCCATGTTCGCAATATTCCTTCTTGATTTGACTCTAGCTGTACCATTATTCCTGCAAGACTCAACATCTTCCGACTCAGATGAAGAAGGAGAGGATGACGAGGAGTCGGTTCTTCTAGAGTGATTCAGAGGAATACTCTGGCTTGTGCTTCCCGAGTCTGAATGATGATGTCTACCAAATTGTCAACTGACCTATCAGAAGGTAGTTGAATGCCCATTGATTCAATGAGTTCCTCTAATTGATCAATAGAGCACTCTGATAATTCATTTCTTGATTTAAAATACATCTTTCGGAATTAATTTGAGACTTCAAGGTATAAATGGGAAGTAGAATCAACAAGTGTTAAAACCATCTTTTATTACACAAAACAAAAGAAATATCCAATTGTCACAATTGAACAATACAATAGATTGAAACTTTTCCAAATTACCATTTGAATCGGGAAGTGATGATGATTTTAGTGAACAATATTAAATTTCACTAAAATATTAATATTATCAGATTTCCACAAATATTACTATTATAATGATGATAAATAACAATGATGATGGTTGGTAGTTGTTCCGATGTGATGGAACACGGTAGTATCTGGAATTGAAAAAAATGACTCAAGTCTCTAAAGGTTTGTGTAATGATCAAAGTTTGCTAATAATTGTAATAGAAATATTTTCTGATGATGTAATTTATGAAATTATTTCCTATTTATGTGATGATTGGAAATTCGTATTATTAAATTGCGTAATGGTAACAAAACAATGGTTGAACGTCATCCGAGATCGATCCGAGCTTTCAATGATGGCGAATAATCATT